GATTAGAACCACGGAAGGCAATACAAAATTGATTCGTGAGGTACAATATGTTCCATCACTTGCTCATAATTTACTAAGTGTTGGACAACAATTGAAGAGTGGTTATTCAGTTCTATTTAATGATGAATCTTGTGACATCAAGGAGAACAAGGCCAACAGAAATCTTTTCAGTGTTAAGATGACATCGAACAAGATGTTTCCTCTTGATGTGAAGCTTGGTTGTGCCTTCGTCGCTAATGAGGATGAAGAAGCTAAACTTTGGCATAATAGATATGGTCACTTGAATATTAAAGGGCTGCAGCTGCTTATGAAGAAAAGGATGGTTCTTGGGTTGCCTAAACTTAATCGTCTCAATTTTTGTGAAGGGTGCGTTTATGGAAAACAGAGCCGGCCTTTATTTCCGGTGGGAAAAGCATGGAGAGCATTGTCTTGTCTTGAGCTCATTCATTCGGATTTATGCGGACCTATGTCTATGGAGTTTCTTGGAGGGTGTCGATATTTTTCGCTATTTGTGGATGACTTTACTCGGATATGTTGGGTCTATTTTATGAAAAATAAATCAGAGGCATTTGAAAATTTCAGAAAATTTAAGGCGTTGGTGGAGAAACAAAGTGGGCGCCAAATTAAATCTCTTTGGACAGATCGAGGTGGTGAATTTGTTTCACGTGAGTTCAATGAGTTTTGTGAAGAGAATGAAATCCGTAGAGAGCTGACTGCACCCTACACGCCACAGCAAACTGGCGTAGCTGAACGTAAAAATCGCACCATTGTTGAGATGGGCAGAAGCATGATGGTCGCAAAGGGTGTTTCGAAAAAGTTCTGGGCTGAAGCAGTAGCTACGGCCATCAACATTTTGAATATTTCTCCGACAAAAGCTGTTTATAATCAGACCCCGTATGAGGCGTGGAACGGTCACAAGCCGAAGGTAAGCCACTTACGAACCTTTGGTTACACAGCATATGCTTTGACAAAATCTCGATCAAAGCTTGATGAAAAGTCGAAAAAGTGTGTCTTGTTGGGTTATAGTGTTCAATCCAAGGCATACAAACTATATAACCCAATAAGTGGCAAGGTGATTATAAGTCGGGATGTCCATTTCAATGAAAATGAAGGTTGGACTTGGAAAGGAAGTGAAGATGCTGGAGCAACAATGCTAGTAGACGGAATCTTTAATCACTCTCCTGAGACTGCGATACATGCTGAAGGTGAAAATTTAGGAGGTTCTGCAGATTATTTGTCGGATTCCTCAGATTCGAGTCGAAGTAGCAAAGGAAATCCTCCTCGTTCTACATATGAGCACACGCCGAAAAAATTCAGATCAGTGGCAGAAGTTTATGGAACACTACAAGAATAAATCATTTTTGTAACAAATTTTTTTTATCTCTCAATTTATTTTTTCCGTTACTAATGACATTAGAGACGGAATTAGGAATGAAATTACGCTAGCTATGTGAACTTTAGGGACGGATTTCTATTACAAATATATTATTTTTTTCTAGTGGAAGCTGCAGCTTTGCTTTGTACATATATCGGAACCTACATGTTTCGAAGATGCTGCCGGAAAGGAAGAATGGCAAGCAGCAATGGTAGACGAAATGAAGGCGATTGAGCGCAATGAGACGTGGGACTTGGTTGAACCTCCTGAAGGAAAAACTCCAATTGGTCTCAAGTGGGTATTCAAAGTCAAGTATCATGCTGACGGTACTGCGAATAAGTACAAAGCGAGGCTGGTTGCAAATGGTTATGCGCAACACAAAGGTGTTAATTTTCATGAGACTTTCTCACCCGTGGCTCGCTTTGAGACTGTAAGAACTCTTCTTTGTCTTGTTGCACATTTACAGCTTCTGGTTTATCAATTCGATGTTAAATCTGGATTTTTAAATGGAGATTTAGAAGAAGAGGTGTATGTCTCGCAACCTGAGGGCTTTGTGGTTCAGGGCAAAGAGCACAAAGTTTTTAAGTTTGTTGGACATGGGTCCAAAAGCACCTGAACGAGAAGGAGGCTCAAAGACAAAAGTGGTGCCAGAGCTCATTGGCCACGGAGCCGCTCAACATCAATGGAGCTTCAAGCCTCGGAGCCAAAGATTGCTGCTTCCACAGAATCGAAGGAAACAGTTTCCATTGGATTATGGTGCTTCCACAGGGCCGAAAGCAGAGGAAGGTTGCCTCCACAAGATAGAAAGCAACAGCTTCCACAGATCATGGGATAACTACCTCCGTTGTCCCTTAGTGGAGGACTTATGCACTCTCATGCTTTATTCAAAAAGCTCCATGGAACAAACCAGCAAGAGGAAAACCGAAGATTCCATTTAACTCGAGGCTGTGGGGGATACATCCCCGTGGACCGGCTAGGAGTACGATGGAAACAAGTCGGAGTAAACAATATATCTGGTCCAGAGGCAATGGAAGAAGTTCAGAGCAAGTGGAACCTGGTCCAGAGGCAATGGAAGCGGCTGGGAGCTGACGGAAGAAGGTTACCGGATGGTTAGGAGCTTATGGAAGGAGGTTACCAGGGAGCTGATGGAAGGGGGTTACGAGGCGGTTAGGAGGTAGTGGAAGGAGGTGATTTGGAAGTTGGAGGTAGTAGTGGGAGGTTACCAGGAAGTTGGAGGTAGTAGTGGGAGGTTACTAAGAGGTTGAGATTGGTGGAGAAATAATTGTAACCGCCCCTTTAGTGGGAGAAGTGGTTATTCTAGCTTAGGATTACAAGTACGAAAAAGAAACACAACACACACGCACAACAGAACAATTCGTCTATTTTCTTACTTTTCTTTCATGTTTTATTTTCGTTGAATGCATTTTAATTCGAATTACATACTTTTATCCGCTTTCAAGTAGATGTTAGTTTAAATCCATTGAAATTGGTCGTTTAGGCTCGAAGCCTTATGGACGATAGGCTCTCTGGAGTACTTCTGGAACCCACACCGACAAATCGACGAACATTCTTGGAACCTCCGAATTGCAGGATCCAACAATTGGCACGCCTGGTGGGACCAAAGTCGGATTTTTTCGAAGAGTGATGTCGAGGTTGACATGGGGTTCATATGTACCGCCTGAAAAGCTACGGAATTATTTCAGAACATCCAAAGCTTCAGGCCTTAAGGCCGGGGCAGGCAAGATCAGGCTGGAACTAACAGGGTTGGAACCACCAGTCTGTAGAAGGCTGGTTCCAACAGCCTGCGGAGGGCTGGAACCACCAGCCTGCGGAAGGCTGGAACCACCAGTTTACGGAAGGCTGGCGACAGCCTACGGAGCGCTGGAGCCAACAGGCTGCGGAGGGCTGGAACCCGTGGCCGTTGGAGTTTTGAAGAGCAATGCTGAGCCTCTACGAGGGGCAAGCAAATTTTCAACATTTGGCATGACCCCGCCAGGGCGATTAAGCGCACAACCTATGTGGAATGTGCCAACACTGCCATGGGCATGTCATGGTCCAGACGTGGCTAATCTTCAATGGAAGGGGATCATCGAAACACAAGGGCAAAGAGGGCAGGCCGCAGAGATGCAGCCGCCAACCTTCCATCAGCAGGCAGCCGGAGTGCAGCCGCTGACACAAAATCAACAAGAGGCCAAGCCTCTAATGGACGTTGATATCATCACAGATTGCATAAGAAGGACATTTTCAAAAAGAAGGTTTGAAAAGAAGCCTAGTGCAACTTTGAGCGCAGAAAATTTGCCTTCATATGAAAAGGAATCTGTGGAGGCAGAGGTTCCAAAAGCGATGGAAGCTCCAGAGTTTGCGGAGGCAGAGACTCCAGAAGCTGTTGAAGCTCCATTCGAAAAGGAGTCTACGGAAGCAGAGGTTTCGGAAGCCTTAGAAGCTCCAAAATTCGCCGAGGCAGAGACTCCAGGGACTATGGAGGCTCCTAATGAAAAGGAGTCTGCGGGGGCAGAAGTTCCAGAAGCCATGGAAGCTCCAGAGCTTATGGAGGCAGAGACTCCAGAAGTTGTGGAGGCTCCCGTTGAAAAGGAGTCTGCAGAGGCAGAGGTTCCAGAAGCCATGGAAGCTCCAAAATTTGCAAAGGTAGAGACTCTAGGGACCGTGGAGACTCCAAACGAAAAGAAGAATGTAAGGGCAGAAACTCCATACAAAAAGGACGTTGTAGGGGAAGAGACTCAAGAGGCTATGGAGGTTCCATACGAAAAGAAGTCTGCAAAGGTAAAAGCCCTAGCGACTTCAGACGAAAAGGACTTTGCGAAGACAGAAGCTTTGGCCACGAAATTAGCAAATGAAAAGACTTATTTGTGTCTGGAATTGAAACCGACCAAAGGGTTTATTCCTTTTTCTAATACCATGTCGTCTAAAGGGCTGATGAAAGACAGGCTTAGCACTCAGCCGTCAAAACCTTTAGTTCAAGATTATCTAGGACCGAAGGCACCGGCTAAAGAAGCCGTCTTTACAAGAATGACATTTGGTAAAAGCTCAAGTTTGAAGATGAGGGAGGCACGACCAAAGACGGCCAAGAAAGTGCCTAATGCCGATATCACCATCCCAAGTCCGAAAGCCTCAAGATCGGAGAAGAGGAAAGTATACAAAGGACCCAAGCCGGTGGCCATCGTAGCAGAAGTGAGAGTCACAAATGGGAAATGGATTAGGACTGTTACCACGGCTGACCAGATCACCATCATTCCCAAGGTGACACGAAAGCCCCCTATCATAAAAGAGAACGAAAAATGGATTGTGAATGAGCCGAAGCTTTCCACTATGAGGGCAATAAGTGGGCCCTCACTAGGACCCAAAATAGGCGAGCTCAAAGAAGAAAGTTGGAGGCTCGTATGGAGGAGGGAAGGTCGCATGAGCCGCCTCAAAAAAAGAAGCAAATTGTAGGGCCACTTCCAGAAAGGAAGTAGGCCATGGAGCTGCCAAGGAAGCAGGCCATGGAGCTGCCTTAAAAAAAGAAGCAAGTTGTAGAGCCGCTCCAAGAAAGGAAGCAGGCCATGGAGGCGCCGACGACGCAGGCTATAAAGCCGCTTCCAGAAAGAAAGCAAGCCATGGAGACACCATGGAAGTAGGCTGTGGAGCCGCTTTCAGAGAGAAAACAGGCTGTGGAGCTGGTTTCAGAGAAAAAGCAGGCTGTGGAGCCGCTTCCAAAAAGAAAGCAAGTCATGGAGCTGCCAAGGAAGCAAGTTGTGAAACCGCTTTTAGAAAGAAAGCAGGCTCTCTAGCCACTTTAAAAAAGGAAGCACGTTGTGGAGTCACTTTTAGAAAACAAGCAGGCTGTGGAGCCGCTTCAAAAAATAAGGCAGGTTGTGGAACCACTAAGGAAGCAAATTCTGGAGCCGTTTTCAGAATGGAAGCAGATTGTGGAGCCGCTTTCAGAAAGGAAGCAGGTTGTGGAGCCGCTTTCAGAAAGGAAGCAGGTTGTAGAGCCACTTTCAAAAAGGAAACAGGCTGTGGAACCACTTCTAAAAATAAAGCAGGCTGTGGAGCCGCTAAGGAACCAGGCTATGGAGTCCTTTCCTAAAAAGAAATAAGTAGAAGAGCCTCCGGAAGAAGTTCAAGAGTTAGAGGAAGTTGTCGTTGACGAAGAGCCTATCTTCGAATAGAATGATGTGGCAACGATGATAGAATATAAGAGGGTCGGGCCTGGCCAAAACCAACATGTCAAGCCTTTGCACATTCGGGTCTCGATGAATGGCTATCCTCTTGACCAAGTTCTGGTGGACAGTGGAGCTTCTGTGAATGGGTTGCCAATTGAGACCCTACGGAAGTTCGGAAAGACTAGTGATGATTTGATTTCTACATTTGTTCAGCTTACCGATTTCGTGGGAAATTCTTACAAACCGGCAGGTATGGTTGAATTTCCTTTGGATGAGTGAATAATATACAGTTGAGATCTTCTTCTTAGTAGCCTTCGAAACATCGATCGACTTTACAAAGCTTTCCCCAAAAATGAGATACTCATTATCTGCATTTCCTTTCTATTGTTACCTTACAATTACTCCGGAAAAGGCAGATTACTTCTCTTGTCGGACTTCAACCAAGCAATCTGATCCACCTCAAATAATACACAAACGCACTCATTCTCGTAGCCCAAGTGCACATGGACCCAGACTTATGACACAGGCCCACGATCCACTTACTTACCTTAGCCCGTGACCAGCTGCTCCAACCGTGCCCGCAACCCGCCTTTACACCCCCGTCCCTTTTATTAGACTAGATCTCAGCCGTCAGATCTAGGGTTGAGATCGTGGCAGTCCATTCATTTTAACCTACCTATATAATAGAGATGAGAGAGGCCGCCGTCGCATACTTCACTCTCATATCCTCTCTCTACCACTCACCCTCTCTACCCATTCCTCTCATCTCTCTCTCGCCACTTTTAGGCGACGATTTTTCCGGCGGTTCTTCGACGGTTGCCTTCCTCCAAATCTGTGGAGCTCCTTGGCATGGTTTTTTCAGTTGAGTCACAAGGGGATCTGTCAACGTGTAGGCTTTTGTTTGCCTTCTTTCTTTGTTTGTGGGGTTATATTTCTTGTGTGTCGTAGGAAGTAGGCCGGTATACTTGTGTTCTTCGCGTTTTTGTGTTTGTATTGTGTAGATTTTGTGTTTGCGAGTTGGTTTGGCGCTGAGCCTAAACCAAAACTAGTTCAAAATTTTTTGTCGATTTCGTTCATAAAAACTCGATCTATCTATTTTTTAATAACACTGCCAGCATTTCCAGCCACCCAATCCGTGTTCTAATCGCTCCTCCAATCCTATATTGGAAGCATTGCTCCTCTCCATTGGTCCATCCAATGCTTTTAATCATTCTCATGGTGGCTGCAGGTGCTGAGTACTTTATCTGAAGCTTTTTTTGATTCACTTATGCCCGAATGACGCCCTTTAAACTCATTGCTTCTTCTTCAAATAAGAGCCACCGGGCAAAAAACAAAGGGGGTCATAATAATTCAATTTTTTCGGATTAGAGCCATTGAGGGTTTTGCTTTGCTTTTCTTTCCACACCCTTGGAGATACCACTCAAGCCCTGTTTCATAGCGCTAGCATCCCCTGGTGAAGACAAAGTAGGGTTTTGTGTAATGATGACTTATTTCCTCTTCAGTGGGAATCCAAGTCGTGGATGCAAGTAATCATTTTCAAATTTTACTCCGATAGCATTATATTCTTGGTTTCTTGTACATTCGGATCCCCCAAGGCATTATCATTTACGAGCTCCATTTGCGATCCCTGATGTAGTTTCTTCAACCAATTCGCGTAGCGAATGGTGCATTGTGGCTCGGATTGACAGCTGGATACATCAATCTCCGAGTCTATAACCAGTTGAGTGTAATCGGATGTAGCGACGTGTGCATTGACATTTACACGGAAGACATGCTTCAGAATGTCCTAATCCATCCCAAACTGCATCACCACTCATGCGGCAGATACTGCTCTATCGAATTCGCATCCCAACCGAGTCCGACTTGTTGTACTCATTAGGTATTACTCAAATGAAAAGTTTCTACAATTGAGTGAAGACTACATCCTAGGAAGATATGTAAATAATGTTAAGAAGCTAATGACAAAGAACTAATAATGTTTCCACATTGGTGTTTATCCTCTTGTTGGAGTAATAATGTTTCCACATGCCATAGTAAAATTTATTACAATATAATTCATTCCACTAAAGTAACTATATTTTCTAAGCTATAATTTAGAATAAAATTTTTAAACTTATTCGAATTTAAAATCTTTGTTTAATATTCAAGTTTTTGTCAATTTTTCCATTTCTTGAAAAAACATAGCATGTTGGACACAAAAACAACAATAGCATGTTGGACACAAAAACATATTATTTTTAAACGACTGGTCAAATATCTTTTGTGGGACGTGAGTATACTTATTTTAAGAGAAATAAAATCAAAAAAATAGTCGAAAGAAATAGCTGAACCCTTCAACAGAATAGGAATATGATTAATTACATACCCAAGGTTCAACTACTTGTGTGGCGAACAAAGATGTAAATGGGCACGGACAAGGAACAAAGAATAATTTTCCGATGGAATATTAGCTTCCGTCTTTTGTAATATATGAATACTTACATTGGTATCCATACGAAATATTAACACTTACATATTTGACCACTTTTAAACAAAAAACGGAAAATTGGTATATACTGACTCAAATGAGAAATCATTAAAATCAGTTTTTAAAGTTTTACGAAATGAAAAAAAATAAAGATAAAAAAAGTCATAAAACCATTTTTAAAATGTCAGAATTCAACGAATGACAGAAGTTTGGCATGAATATCGGAAAAACAACCAAAGTGAGACGTAAATGTGACAAACCTTAGACTCCGTTGATAATGCAGGAACTCCAATTGATTTTATTGGTATGGTGTTCCGCAAGGAAGTATACTATTGTATATTATATTTTCATTCACCAAACTCAAATGCAACTGGTTTGTACTAGCAAGTGAAATCGAATGAATAATGAGGAACAAGAAACCCGAACTATGTAAAGAAGAAATAATTGAAACATGAACCAAAAGAAATTGCTCTTAGATTTAGTGCATATGTTTGCCCTTTATTATCTACTAAAGGGCTTTTGTGTGAAACCATATGTCTATATTCAAATCTATGATGACTGACCATATATTCTCCCTTTAGCAAAAACTACAAGCATTAACAAGGAGCATTAATAGTTCCGCCAATTATAAAATATGTCTATAAAAATTTAAACTTTTGATAAATGAGAATAAAGGACTTATATAATTATTGAGATACTTCATTTTATATGCTCATATAGTTCAGAAGTATTAAATGGTTATCGGAAATGGGTGCATACAAGTAATATATATGTATTTATTGAGCCATTAATAAATAGAAATAATAGTGTAAGCAGGCCAAAATCTAATATTTAGTAACAAAACAGAGGAAGATAAGAAATAGAAAATATTTATAATAAAGATTGGAATTGAAGTTTAAAAAAATCATGAGCAAAAATAAGAAAGTAAACTAAGAACAATTCAAAGAAAGAATTATATTATGAAAAACAATCGAACATAGATGTTTATACACTTCCTAGTTTTCGAAATTGAAAACCAAATGAACAAAACACCCCTTAGGTCCTTTGCGTATTTCGGCTCAGCTACAAGAATTGTCTGACTTTGTTGTTTTTCAATCATAAAAATAAAATTTATAATTCTTTTTTAAAAATCTCTAACTTCAAAGCTCTTTGGTTTCTTAAAATTTTTCACAGTAAAAAATAAAGTAAAATTAAAATATGTAGTCTTATGTCTCTTGATCATGCTCCGAATGGATACTAATGAGATTTCTTCTCATCTGTGGCTGAACGACGAAATTGATTTTCCAAATTCCTCACCCTGTGCAAATGCAAAAATTTTGAAGATCTATATCCCTAGGTTAAAATAGGTGAAACGAAAACTAAGTTGATTTATAAAGGTGGTAAGGTTTGTCTTGTGTGTGTGTGTGTTTTGTTTTTTTTTAGCTTAACTTAACAATCAAACAATCGTCATGAAATTCTCAGAGAAATTCACCAGAATAAGACCACAAGATCGCCGCAATACCCTCACTAAATATTTTATGGAAAAACAATTGCAGGACCCCAATGAAACGTTAAAAAATATTCATTGAAAATGACTCGAACATCGACGGAAAACACATGAATAGGACATTGAGAGAAAATTTTCTAACTAGCAAGAGAGAAATTCAGTGCAACAATAACCCTACAATTACACCCAACTACTTATTAATAGAAGTGATGTGTAGTCTAGATCAAATCCCTAGATGGTTGGGTGCATATCAAAAGGCTACAAGATGATTGGGCTCTATGGGTCAGACAACGTCTTGGACCACTTCTTTGGATCAAGAACACATTACATCTAAAGGAATATTGTGTCAAAATAACATAATTTACATATCAAAATATCCAAGTAGTGTGAATATCATATCAGATATGGTTTCATCACGGAACAACAATATTTGCATAAAATCTTCCCGTTTGTTTTCGTCAATGAATGCATACTCTTCTAACTCAAATTCTCACAATGAGAATGTTAGGTTCTTAAAATCAAGGTCATAAATCTCTTTTCTGCTTTCTTAAATAACCATTTTAATGTGATCACTACAATTAAATATTAATTTTGTAACGAGATTTTTTCATCTCTAAATCCACTTTTTCTGTTAATAATGATATTAGAGACGGAATTAGTGATTAAATTATGTTAGCTACGTGAATTTTAGGAACGGAATTCCGTTACAAATATACTATTTTCTTGTAGTGGATCTTTAACTTTCAAAGAAGGAAACTTCCTCTAGCCACTTCTATTGTTTGGTTAACTTCGATCCCGGGATCGTGAAAGATTAATAATCAAAATTTAGTTCTTGGTAAGTTAAAGCCATATTGTATGGAAGGTTATATTAGGATTTCCATGGAATTTTTGCTTGTTAACTCTAGCAAACAATTAGAATAGGGTTTTGTAATTAATTTTAGCCTAGTTCTCACCTCTATTGTTGCTTGCAA